CTACTCTGTCTCTATCGACTCTGCTGCCCATGCTCCAATTAAATCACACATGTCCCTTTCCCCAGTGGAGGCAGACCCTTTTCCTAAGCCTGTCTCTCATTGGTTCTTCTAAGGTCTGGCCAGTGAGCTCCAGGAGTCTCTCAGTCTCTCCTCTCTAGCAATGAGATTAGAACTGCCAGCCCAGCTTCTCATACAAGTGCTTCGATCTCATGCTTCTCATGCAAGCACTTTACCAACTGAGCCATCTCTCCAGCCTTACTTTTATTTGTTGGCTTTGTTTTGTTTTGCTGCTCCCTCCCCAGAATTTCAGCGTGTAATAGGCACTCAAAACCATATGAGCATATGATCAATAAGGGAATGTTCCTTGTGACACTTTCTAATTCCCTCTGAGAATTCTTTTTTTTTCCCCTTCCTTTCTGGAAATACTTGCAGTTGAACCAAAGGCCTCATGTGTACTAGGCAATCACCCAAGCACTGACCCACAGGCCCAGCCTTCCCGTGAATAACTCTGAAATCTACTACCTGTTCCTCAGACAAGCCAAATACCATTTCCCTTCCAGCTCATGACTGGATTTCATTTCGTCTCTTATGTCTGATTAGAAAAGTTCTTGCATATAGAAAACTCAGGAACAAGTTCCACCTTGGCTTATGGAGCTGGCTCATCCCCCTTTCCAGTGTGCTTGCACATCTTCCGTCCCTTATGTAAAGATCTACAAATGTGCTTGGGGTCCCGAAGGAAGAGCTTGTCCCAGATCCCAGGATCTTAAAAGAAAAAGCGTCCCTCGTTTCTTTAAGAATCCATAATTGCTGCTTCTCCTGAGATATTTTTACAGTGATTCCCTAGAGGAAGCATCGCAGCTGACCGCCCAGTGCGGGGCAGAGATGCACAGACAGACAGTCTGGCTCCAATTTATGTTCTGTGCTAACATGGCTAATAGGCATTAGTATTTTGATTTAGAGAAGTGCTCTACTTGAGCCTAACTTGGGTGCATACACTGGTAACATCTGGCTCGGAGTCACACATTTCAAGGCCATGTGCTATTTGTTTTTCTTCATCTTCTTTTCCTTCCTCTTCCCCCCTTCTCTCTCTCTCTCTCCTTCCTCCCTTCTCCTCCCTCCAACAAAGTGTCTTGGGAATGGTTTCAGTGTTTTGATAGAGGAGCCGTACACAGCATAAATTGGCAGACATTCCATTTGCCCCATGTTGAACTCCATCGGAGACACGCTGAACCTTTCAGAACTCTTGTGTATGTGTAATGTGTATCAGCACGTTCAGACAACCCTGTCTGTGCCTTTCTTTTCCCACCCTTTTTCCCGTGTCCAAATCTTTGCTATCACTTCATTTTCAATACTAAACTCAACACTCACTCCAGCTAAGTGGGGAAAATGCGGCAGATCTGAATTCATGAGACAGCCTATAAACATCTCGGAAAGTGAGTGAGCGTTTCGGCACAACCTTGGGTTCTCTCCAGGAGTATGTCTCGCTTGCAAAGGCTTGGTAAAGCAGTGGAACTGCAGTCATTGGTGGCTTCGCTGGGAACAGCCAGGGGTGCCCACCAATGGTTCTGGGAGGGCTTCCCCACCAGATGAACAGTGCTCTGTTCTTCAGCTGGGGGGAGGGGGGAAGTGGTGTTGTAATCTTCTTACTTAACACTAGCTGTCCCAGTGACTTAGTTTGGTGGAAGTGGGGATAAAATTATGTATTTGAAAAGAAGCCCTCCCCAAACAGTCTCTGAGGAACAAGCACACCACCTCTTAATTTAGTTTTTCTTGGCTTGTGGCATTGATGACCAAACACCTCTCTTTCCATTTAAAATTTAACCACTTCACACTCAGACAAAATTCAAGTCTAAACTTAGCCAGTAAGGAAACAGGGATTTGCCAGAAAGCTTACTAAGTGTTGGCTGTCTCAGGGTGTGTGATGTGCAAACACCACAGCTTTGCAAAACAAGTGATTAGCCCTCCCGGTGCCATGGGGTTGCATTCCAACGGGATGCTCACATACAGTTTTCATCATACCATATGCCTGCTTACTAGAAGAACCATGTATTTTTTTTTTAATATATTTGTTTGCGTGCTTATCAGATGCCCAGAAAATGCATTCTTCATGGATTTTTTTTTCTATTACTGTTTGGATAGCACACAGAGAGATGCAGTTAGGAAGCATGTTATCAACAGAAGTAACAATCATGGGGCTACTAGGTTTTTCTCTCATTTTCCCATAAATCAGATCTGTAAATGCAAAAAATGTAAAGAATGAACATGAGATAACCAGTAATTTTATTGGAAACTTTAAAAGGGAAACGAATACCAGTTGGGGGAAAAAAAATGAAAACAAAAACTTAAACCAACCTAGCCTCCAAAAGAAAAACTTTAAGGAGATATTTCTGAAATCAATCTCTTTAGGGCAGAAAGCAACAGAGGACTGTGGGCTCCCTCTACGGTCGTGCATCATGGGCATTCCTCAAAAGCAGAGAGCGTCACTAATGGAATTATATGTTTTCACGCTGTAATTACATTTGATTTTCCTGATATTTCTGTAGACTTTTTGTTCATGAGCCCATGACTTAGCAGAATATTTAGAAGTTTTCTATACCATTGTCCTAATTAAGACCCATTTTGTTCCCTCCAAAACAGGATTAGCAAGAGCAATTTTTAACAGAAAAAGAAAAAAAATGTGCAGTTAAAAAAAATTATTCAAGCTTCAGAGAATTCTTTCAAAAGCAGTGTAGGATATTAATAACAAGTGAGAGAGAGAGAGAGTCTTCCAGTGGAAGAAAACACCGTCGACAGCCTTCTGAGTTCTCAAATGGCCTGAGATAATAACATAACATAGATTTTCTTTATAGTTGAATGAGTATTTGGTAGACAAAACAATTTGATCTTTGCCTTGTGTTGAATTCTACTACAGACCCTTTGAAGCTTTCAGAACCCTTATGTGTAGCATATATCAGAGTGCCCTCACGACCTTGCCCATGCCTTCATCACTCCACCTTCTTGTTTGGGATATATTAATCAGAGTAACTTGTCCCATATCCCATTAACATCATTTCCTATTCACTAATGTGCCCCTCCTATTCTCCATGCTCCCACGGCTACAGAACACGGGAGGGGTACTTGAAATGCGTTCACACTCCAGCATTTCCTCCACAATACATGATGGAAGTGGATGCAAGAAGAAAGCTGGCCAGTGCCAGGGAGGGGCAAATGGAGCTAGTTAGAGACACAGCTGAATGTCCCTGGGCCCGGCCTGGGTTGGGTGTTCTCATCAGCAGTTGAAGTGAAGCTAGCTATGTATCTCCCCATGTTTAGTACAGTTCTTAAATTCCACTGATTTGAATGTTGAGATCCAGACTGCAGTTGTCCGTTCTCAATTCCCTGCAGCCTGGTTCATGGCCGAGGGGCTCAGCCCAAATCAAACACTGAGGTTTTCCCAGACAGCTTCTCAGCTAAAACTGACAATGTTCTTGTAGACTTCCCAGCTTTATGGAGTATCATTCTCTTTCCCCTGAAACACCCATCTGGCCTCAGGTTCAAAGGAATTGTCCCTTCAGGTTTTTGTACTTTCTGTGTCCCCGCCCCAGTCACACCTGTAGTTCCTTAGATGGTGCTCTGCCTTTGACTGTTTCTACTCTACCAGTGAATGGTTGCTTCCTAATTGACTCTTTGAGTCTCAAAATCTCCTGATGCTGGGAGTTCACAGGCAGCTAATCATGGTAAAGGAGCAACACCTCTGCCCCTGATTCCTAAGTCCTTGCTGCTGCTTAAGATGCTCACTGCAAGGAAACACGGAATCGCTCTGACTTCTCACCAAACCCTCCAATTCCCTAACTCTCTAAAAAGCGTATGTTTTCTACATGGTTTATGTGTAGTAAATGAATATTCTTTTATTATCCACTTCCTGCAACCTTAGTGAAATTTAGGTTAGAGCACACTATACATATAATTAAAGAGTCTGCTAGTCTGTCAATCAAAATGCAATCCACAGTTAAGTGGCATTTGTACCATTCTCTACCTGCTCTTACTCTCTAGACTAAATGCAGTCATCTCTGTTTAAGTCCTGTAACATCCACTTGGCCTGTTCTCCTCCAACTCTACTTTGACTGTGACCTTTTCTTTTTTTTTTCCTTTTCTTTTTGAGATTATAACCTTTCTCCATTCCCTTTCTTCTCACCAAATCCTTCCATATAACTCTCCTCACTCTTCTTCAAATTCACTTCCTCTTTTTCACTAGTTGTTATTACATGCATATATCTATATTTATATACATAAGTTTCTAAATACATCCTATTTAGTCCATATAATGTTAACTGAATAGCCATTTAAATATTTAATAAGTTTTCTCTGTTCTTCATCAAGCATCCAAATACCGTTCTCCGAAAGGTATACGGGGCATATAGGCAAACTAAATCATCCGAAGGAGTTGGCTTTTACATTTTTCTTAGGAATACACTGATTTGGGTAGATAAATTTCTATTGAAATGTATTCTTAATCATTTTTAAATACATATAAGTTTTTATAAATTACCAGATATATCTTTGAAGATTCATGTTTGGGAATAATCCGTAAGTCATCTTGCATGCACATATGCAATTATGTAAATATTACAAATGGCATAAATGTATGTATTGGGGATATAGTATAAATTTCAATATGTGTATATAATATGTAATGATCAAATTGATAATTAATATTTCCACTTCAAACATTTACCATTCTTTGGGTCGAGAACAAGCAAAATCCTTTATGCTGACCATCTGGAAGACTACAGTAAATATTGTTAATTGTGGTCTTACCATATGACAGCCACTAGAATGTTTGTCATGTTTTAAAATGTTGCTGAACTTGTCAACTCCTTCCTCACCTCTGGAAAATATTTTAATCATCACTAAAATTCCATCTAGTATTTCATCTTCTCCAACAACATGCACCTAAAATATTTTACTAATCTTTGTGGTTATTGAAATTTTATCTTCATTTTGTATGCATTTTTTTTCAGGATCCCCCAATGGCTGTGACACTTGGGCTCCGGATGGAGGAAATGATCTTCAATCTTGCTGATACACATTTGTTTTTTAATGACTTAGAGGTAAGAATTTTAAAAGTCAACAATTATTGACAACACAAAAACTCTCAGTGTTGTCATCATGCAGGAAACCTTAAGAAATTTGAAAAAAAAAATAACATCCAATGAGAAGTGTGAAGTTCTTGCATAGACTCTGTGAATGCAGACTTGTGCTCTTGAGTTATACATGTTATGGACACATACCGAGAACAAAAATGTCTTTAGAAGTAGGTGGTCTCTTTTGTGGCTTGGGTCAGACAATCCGTCATTTTGCACTTGATTCTTTGGTATCTCAGGCCTTTGAATTAACATCAGCCTTTCGAGGTTACTACTCAGAAAATCAACCAAATGAAGAAGCACAAGAAGATCTGGCCTCAGAATAGCTACACATATGCGTTGACAAAGAACATACTCTCCCTGTTAGCAACCTGGGGGACCTGACATGCAGAAAGCAGAAGAGGAAATAACACAATAGTTTGGGCAAAGGACCAAAGGACCTTGTAGACAAATATAATTGTGCTAAAATAGTGATCTCTAATCTTTAGAAATTGACATGCTTAATTTATATTTTTATTTTGTGATTTCACAATGTAAAAATGTTTAACTATAGTCACATTGTGAACAGGGATGATTACTGTTATGACTCCTTATGACGTTCTAGACCTAGTTTATGTTAAACTTACTGATAACTGTCAATGCTTTGAAATGAATAGGCATATCACTTCTCTACATATTACTTTTCAGGGGACAAACTATAGGTTCAACAGTGACATACACAGATAGAGAGAGATTGATAGATAGATAGATAGATAGATAGATAGATAGATAGATAGATAGATCATATAAATATATATTGATATATGCTAGTAATATTTATATATAATATGTATATATGCATATGTGAATGTGTGTGTGTGTGTGTCCTATGTTAACAGCTGGCTCAATAACGGAATTGTGATTTCAAAGCAGGTTTGAGGCAAGGGAGCACAAACTTCTGGATTTAGGAGGAAAGGAAGAAAAGCCACATTTTAGTAAATGACTTAGATAAGATTATAGGTCAAGACTTAGTTACATCAGAAACACAAAACGGAAAATGATTCCATGTGGCCTGTGGAATCATGTGCTGAAAACTGCAGGCACAGAAGTGATCAGTTGTGGGTTCCTTAGCTCTGCCCATGTTTTTATTAGGTGATAAAATGTCTGTTCGAGCAAGCTTTATTTGTTAATGAACAATGTGAAAGCTCAGTGTTCTTTATCTAGTTTCCATTCTATATAATAAGAAATACTAATGGCCCCTGTAAAAACCGACTTTGGCTAATCCCACTGCTTCTTATCCCCAGGGATACAGATGCTTGTAACATGGTGCCTGCTAATAGAAATTAAACTTACCATGAAACTTGACACTTCAAGTACAGCAATAGCTATGTGCTATTTTTCTTGTTCTTAATATGGAGGAGTCTCAGCTTAAAAAATATAAGGTGATTAATATTTCCAAGGCTACCAAAGGAAACAAGAAGCTTTCTCTGGCTTTGTCCCAGTTTTATGATGCTTATCTCATTTGACTTCTTTTTACCAGAAACACGTGGAATAAATGACGTTTCGCTTTTTGGTGGCATAGTATGATAAAGTGGAATAGGACAGACTAGTGTTGCCAGCCCATCAGATCCCCCTGTGAACGAAGAGAGCACAATCCACAGCGTCCTCTGAGCCCACACTTAGGCACTGTTGTATACGTGGCACCCCCCCCCCCCAGGAGTGCACACATATACACAGGCGCAATACTAATGAATAAAAATTCCAAAAACCGACTAAAATGCTCGCCTTTCAGCAGAACACTAAAGTGAAAGGGGGAGAGTATCTTACCACAAATATGTAAATATTTTACATGCCTGGAATAAACGTCACAGCATACAGAAAAAGCCACGGCTAGATACAGTGCTGTAAATCTTTTTATTTTATTTTATGCTAGATCTTATGTAAATGTACTTTATAAGTACTGGCTGGGGTCACTAGCAGGAATATTAAACTGGGAAAGTAATGGTGTTGACGCTTCTTTCCTGGGTGCGTGTTAGAATGTCACGGAACCGTTGACTTAAACCCCACAGTTCTGCTCTTCAACTGTATTCCACTTGGTCAGTAAAAGATAGACCCAGACAAGTGGCATGTACACACATAACGGGCATGCAAGCAGTGCTGTGTGCACATACAGTATACATATGTGCTTGCAGAGCTGGATGAGGCCAGGGAACACAAAAGGGTGTTTCCAGGTGACACAAACTGATGAGATCCAGACAGTAACTTTCACGTCCGTTTGGAAGTTACCTACCCACAGGTCTACTCTGCTGAGTGGCTAATTTTGAACATCACATTTATGTCAATGACCCTTTTTTCAGACAACTTCTTAGAAAGGCTCCATCATAGGAATTAAGCCGAGCCTGCTTCCGCTGGCGTACAGAATTGCTTGACAGTGCATATATCATTATCTTATTGTGAGAACTGTTTTTTCTTGTGTAGCTAATCTCTTAGGGTCTTTTGTGGAATCCAAGTGTCTGTTTGAGACAGTAAATGCTCCGGTACGTGGTACGCCGTAGGCAATGACAGCTGTTCCTCTCAAATGTCCTTAAAAGTTCCAAATCTGAATCTGACTACTCAACACTTCATTCCATTCTGCCCACCCCTGGCCCCGGCAAGAGAATGCTCTCTGTTCAAAAAAATGTTATTTCAGTTAGAATAACTTCCAGAGGGGAAAGCCCGAGGGAGTTGGGGTTCACAAAAGTAAGAGAAGAGTGCTGTGCTCATAACTGGAACAGATGAGGGGCAACTCTGTGGTTACCTTATAAGACACGTTTAAAGCATTTATGATTAACACCAGAATTATTTTAAGCACTTGGGGTCTTTGCTAAGCTGTGTTCAAAACCAAAGCACTTGAACATTTTTGGAGTATTTTGAGTTCAGGTTAAAATGACTCCTGCCTGGCTTGCTTACAGTGAAAAATTAGTTGATGAACAATTATTTATCTTTTCTGTTAAAAAAAAATCCAAGTAATTGAAGTTCAAGTTTCTTTCACTGGACTGTAATCCTTGGGCAGCTGTCCAGAGTCAACACAGAGAGTTACTAAGCATAAATATAAGGAGAAGTTAGATTTGGAAGACCCTCAAACCTAACTTCAAATACAGAGTGCATGGTCCAATAAGTTTGATATACTGTTGTCCTCAGGAGTAAAAAATGAATTTTGGGGCAAGTTATGTACAAATTAATCATGTGAGTTAATTCTTGAAATGTAAGGAAAGTTTTTTTGTTTTTTGTTTTAAAAAAAAAAGGAATGAAGAAGTATTCAAGAAATAACTTGTGGCTGAAGGGACTCACAAAAATCTCCCTCCCCGTTTGGGGGATTTTAAATCACTTTATTACATAAGAGAGAGGTGGAGATTATTTCCATGAGGAAAGATTTTGGAAGTTCAGTGGAGTGAGGAGCTCTAGGTATTTATTTCAATCTAAATGCCTCCCAAGAACATCACCATGTCTGAGCTAGAGAGATGGCTCAGTGGCTAAAAGCACTGGCTGCTCTTCCAGAGAGCAATTCCTAGTACCCATATGGTTTCTCACCATCTGTAACTCCAGTTCCACGGGATCCAACCCTCCCTGGACTCAACAGGTACCAGATACACACATGGTACACAGATATGTAGGCAGGCAAAATACCCACAAGTTAGCACTTACTTAAAGAATCTTGCCATGTCTAAAGAACAAATACCTAAGTCGTGTAGAATTGCTTCAGTGCCTCTATATTCTAAGGAGAAAAAAATAGGTTTTCCAGCTTCCATGCTAACTGCTTAAATCACTTGACTTACTTGCATTTCAGAGGTTTCTTGGCGATTCAATGCCTTCTGTTATCACAGAGCCCGCCTGTCTCTCACCCATGCGGCCTCAACTCCTATTCTGTTCATTTCCTTTCTCTCTACTGATTATGTCCGCGTCTTCTCACAAGTCTCACCATCTGGAGTGTTCATTTGTGTCACTCTAACTTTGTGTTAGAAACTTGAAACCATTGTGGCAATCCTACCGTTGCTATCGTTTGTCTAAACTCCTGCCGTGTAGTTAAGAAGCAATTCTTTCACTTTCTAATTAGGGTTTATTTTTTATTGGTATATACTCATTGCACATGGTACCAGATTACATAAGGACATTTTTTTCTTTTTTTTTTAATTATGAGTTAGTCCTGGGATGTCCTGGAGCTCCCTCTGTAGACCAGGCTGACCTCAAACTCTCGGAGATCTACCTGCCTCTGCCTCACAAGAGCTGGGGTTAAAGGCCAGTGCCACCACCACCCTGCCATATGAGGAATTTTCATAAAAGTACCTTAAGCATATTCCCCATTCCATGTTCCTCTTCTTTCCAGTTCTTAATTTTTCTCTTCAAGCCCTTCATTCCTCAAATACTTGGGTTGATTATTTTCTGCCTCTAAATTATGCCTTTAAAAATCTCTCCCTGAAGCACCCTCAGATGACTTCCATGTAGACTAACTCTCCTCAGCCCTTACCTAAGAACGTAGGAAAAAATTCATTCAAAAATTATCAATCCCATAATTTATTAAACCCAATGAACTATTAAAATAAGTATATGTAGATTTTTTGTTTTCATTTTGTGTTTATGGGTGTTTTGCCTGCAAGTATGTATGTATACACAGTGCCCACAGAAGGGAGACGAGGGTGTTTCTACCTGTAATGGAAGTGCTGGGAACCTAGGTCCTCTCTGAGCAGCAAGTGCTCTAAATGCTGAACCATCTCTCCATCCCAAATACATTTTGAAGTGACATACCAAAACTTTAGTGAGTGAGCTTGCCACTCAGTTTTGTGTTTCATTGTTTATTTAGTTCACATTTGCTTTTTTGACCTGGGAAAGGATGCTGTCCAGGTCAGACACGTGCGGCGGTCAGAGGACAGCTTGCAGGACTCACTTCTCTTGCTCGTCCCCTTCCGCCATCTGGGCTCCTGGGTTCAAGCTCAGGCCCTTGGGCTCAGCTACTTGCTCATCAGCAGTTGCTGAGCTATCTCCTCATCCCCCAGGTTCTATACATTAAACGAAGTCAGAGTCGGCTAAAATTGGATGAGTATTATGTGTGGAAGGCTGAAGGCTGGACATTTGGTGTTTAACGACAGACTCTTCCAGGTCTCAAAAAATTTAGAGATCAAGAGTCTTCTTAATATTTTCAAAGTTAATAATTTTTCAATTGATCTTTGAATGATATAAGCACTGCTGGTAGGATCAAAATGCGTGGCCAAAAGTAAGATAATCTAACGGAAATATAAGAGGCCCAAAAGCTGGGAATGGAGCTCAGCAGTAAAATATTTGTATAACATATGCAAGGCCCTGGCATCAGTCCCCTGCATATCTCTGTGTGTCTTCTCTCTCTCTCTCTCTCTCTCTCTCTCTCTCTCTCTTTCTCTCTCTCTTTCTCTCTCTCTCTCTGTCTGTCTCTCTGTCTCTCCCTCTCTCTCTCTGTGTCTGTCTCACTCTCGCTCTCACTCTTTCATTGATTTATTGTGAATTGTAATTATTTGTAATTGTTAATAATGGACTTATTTCTCTAAGGACAAGGCGTTTCAAATCTCATCAGCAAATTTCACCTTAAGTCATGTAATATTTTATAGAACTTTGCAAATTATTGGAACACAGGACAAGATTTTTAGAACCTCAAAGAGCCTAATTCTTATGTGGATGCCACTATTTGCTTTACGCAAACAAACAAAAGGTTGTCCAATATGGGCAACCTTACCGAATTTATTTTCCTTGAAGTTTGTATTGTTTTCAGCACACAAATCTTAACGATTTTACTTTTCTCCATTGAAATTTTAAAAATGCTAAATCCTTGAAAGGAGGATATCAGCTTCTATGGGAACTAATCTTGTTCATATCAGAAAACCAGGACGCAACTAAAATGACACCCCAACTCTAGCAGAACAGCAGGAAGTCTTGGAAAGCTCACAAAACACCCTGTTCTGAGGTCTAGACCCCTCAGCTGGTACCAAGCAAATAATAACTAATAGTGAGCACTTGGGATGCTCAGGCCCGAGGCACAATGGGTATTTTCAGATTAGAGGGACACTGACCTCAAAGCTTCAGGAGTTCTTCTTATCCAGGATATGAATCATGCTTATTTTTCAAAGCACTTCGTCTCCAGGCTGCTTTATGTGGCCCTTATGGATTTAGGGCTGAAAGAAGTGGGACCTTTTCCTTCCATGCATAAGCAAACAAGCATCGGAGGGAGGGAGAAATGGACCCATGCTGCCATCTTGTGGCTGTAGCCAGATGCCATGGAAAGATGGAAAACCTTTCTGGTGGTGGACAGCCTGTCTGCATGCTCGGGAGATAGGTAATGTCTGCTGTTTGCTTTCTCCCAGGAGTGTGATCAAGTTCATATAGATGATGTTTCCTCAGATGACAATGGCCAGGACTTGAGGTAAGCTGTGCCTTTCAGTCTTCCATTTCCTACAGAAATTCAGCCACAGAGTTTTGCACATGTAATTATTTCTTTTATTTCTTTTTAATGTATTTTGGGTGTTGCAGTACCTACAGTTTTGCAACTGATGGCTTCCATGCAGCTGCAAGTAGTGCGAACCTTTGTTTGCCAACAGGTGTGAGAGGAGGAGTGGACTGGATGAGGAAGTTGGCTTTTCGCTACAGAAGAGTAAAGGAATTATATAACACCTACAAGAACAATGTAGGAGGTATGTGTGGCCAATTCCATCCAGCGTCAGCACCTTGGGTGTAGGTAGAATTCAAACTGTGGTTTCATAGTGGAGATCAGCCTACTGGAAAACGTATCAGTGAATGCTCGCATTGAAAGGCACTGAGCCTGAATTTTTGCTGTCTGTGAATGACTAGAAGGAAATTGAATGCACCCTTGTGAAAAGACTTGGCCATTTGTGTATGTGTGTTTTGTGTGTGTGAAACCATGTGTTATATCAAGCAGGGTGCTTTCCCTGCTTCATCAGTGTTATTCTGACATCGGTGAAACAGACAGACAAGGGAAGTGGTCAAGAGACCCTTGTAAGGTGACAGCCACAATTATTGAGTTAGTCACAATCACTGTCAGAATAGACAAGCAGAGGTTTGTAAAAGTTCCAAGTGTGCAATAGACCTATTTGATCTTTTTAAAAGCTGTGCATCTTCTGACGATGTATCTTCCCACTCACTGTAATCACTGTGGCTTTTTAAGAGTTCTAATACTCCGTAGGCAGTGCCTGAAACACATTACCTCTATCGATAGATTTTGAGGCAGTATTTAAATCTTTATCCCCAAACTGCAGCCATGGTGGTACTTCTAGATATAGGAAAAATGGTAATTTTTTTCACTATTAGAATCAATTTCAGGACAACAAATTTCCAAGATTAGCTCTAAAATCACACATATTCAATTCTTCTAGCAAGCTGATTTTTTTTTTAATGAAATCAGCTTGAGGAGCAAAACTCCAAAATAATCCAAAAGGAAATTATTTTTCTAAATACATGTATGTAGTCTCCACATGCATATGGTCACGTGTGTGCCATAGAATAAGACAAATAAAATTTACATCCACAGTAAGTACACTGCACCCAGCTGTTTTCAACTTGAGGATGGGGTCTAGGTGTCTCCGTTCCTGTGTATTTGCCAGCATTGAATCCCACCAAATGTTCAGTGAATACTCAGTAAGTGTAAGAAAGCAGGGCAGAGCCTCAGACCATGTGACTGTTTGAAGCTCCAGGAAAGGTTCTGAAGCACCACCACTGCATTGGCGCCAGCTCCTGGGCGTACTTCCTAAGCCACTCTAATGCCTTGTGCAAGACACTTTTGAAATAAAACAGATTTCCTAGATCAAACCACTTGTAAATAATATGTTTAACTTTTTTCAACTAAACATCCCCTTGGTAAATCTGGGACTGTTTATATTTGCATATCTCTCTCCTCCCTTTACAGAGTATCACTTAAATTATTTTAAAGTTGGGAGGACTTAATATACACTCTTCTATCTTAACAATGCTGATCAGTGATAAGAGTTTATTCTCTGTCAGATATTACCATCTTTTTATCGAAATGTGAAAAGAGTGAGACCTTCTGGAAAGTGAAAGGTTTAATTTTGACTGGCCCCTATCACATACTGTGTGCACACACTTCCAGTGTATGAAATACAATTTAATTGGAGACCCTTCCCTTTGAACGGATATTTACGTGAATTCAGTTTATCATGAAAGCAAGTGGCTCTGCTTTTCTCTCTTTTCTTTTTTTCCTTCTTCCCTTCTGTCCTTCCTTTCTTTTCTTCTTTTTTTTTTTTCTTTTTGGTCAGTGTTAGGGCCTTTCACATGCTAGCCATGTGCTCGCCCACTGACGGATATTCCAACATCTTTCTAAGATCTCCAGTCTCCTGGTCTCCAGTACCTAATTCCACTGCTTACACTTGTAGAGCACACCTTGGAATTTTCAGCATAGCTATTTTTTTCTTTTCAAAACACAAAGTATCGTTAAAAGCAGGCACTACCTTGAGAAACACTGTAACAGTAGCATAGGATGCTGCTGATATTTTTCCAAAGTGGAACTATAATTACAAAGAGACAACATTTTATGTGGCCCATTGTGTTCTGTCTGGAGGAACCCAAGTTCTCCTCCCTAACTGACATACCCCAGCCTCCTCGATGGTATCATGTCTAGAAGATGCTGAGCTTTTCAGCTCCTGGGTTAAATTCCAGTCTTTGAGAGTGGGAGGGGGTGGGAGGCCACTGGGGTCTGTTTTCCCTGTGTCATATCTCTAGTGTCTAGCCAAATGTCTGGCCCCTAAGTGTTGCATAGTAAGAATTCATTGAATGGATGGTGAGTAATCATTCTGAAAAGATGAATCCGTACTGCTATAAGTCTATACCTCTTTATTTATGACACGCCCAAGATAAAATTTGTTTATTCTAGACAGAAGATACACCAAACTCCATATTCCAGAGAGAGTTCAGCTCCTGACTGCATCTTTTTTTTTTCTTGGTGTTTCAGGACTCCTTGGCCCTGCCAAGAGGGATGCATGGCTGCAGTTAAGGGCAGAGATAGAAGGCCTAACGGATTCCTGGCTAACGAATGCACTTAAGTCTTTATCAATCATTAGCACGAGGTGAGTGGGATTATTGCCCTTCTACTGCAATTATGTGAACAATCGGGGTCCAGCAGCACTACAGAGAAAAACTGTGCCAATTCCTAGCAATTTACCACTTAAGGGTTTTTCTTTGTGTGTGTGTCTCTGTGTGTGCAAGTTTGTGTGTCTGTGTGTATCTGTGCATGCACATGTGTGTGTGCATATGTGTGTATTTGTACGTCTGTGTGTGTGTACCCATGTGTGTTTGTGCCTGTGTGTGTGTGTGTGTGTGTGTGTGTGTGTGTGTTGGGACTGTAGGAGAGCTACTGCTCTCAGAATACAGGAGATGACTTTTCTCTACCCATATATCATCACAACTACTGTTAATAACACAGGGAAGTAATGTAATTCGCCCCCAAGAAGGCATCAGTGCAGTGTTGCTAAGAAAATCCAAAGCATGGTGACAAAATCAAAAGCAGCCTTTTTTGTTAAAAGGATGCATGGTTCAGGTCTAATAGATAATATGCCCCAGACATCAGAAAACTACAAGGAATATCTTGGCAACCTCTCTAGCCTTGTGTTGTTTCTGCAAGCTTGTTAATATAGATGACAAAATTGCAAAGATTTTCAAGTTGTTTTCCAACTTTGTGCTATGAGTAATAATTCAACAGTAGCATAAATTTGGGAAGTGATGGCCTGTGTGTAAGGCCATCTTTGGGTTTGTTTTTTTTTCTTATTTCATAGTTTTATTTCTGGCTTGCGGGATATATAAAGATACAGTTAACCAATGCCTGGGTAATACATAGGCATAAAAAGAGGTGTTATCCAGACAGTTAGCCGATGCTCAAAAAAGTTTGCCAGAGTGAAAGAGCCCAGTACCTACGGCATAAAAGTAAATTTGTGTGTCAGATCTGACATGTGGTTCCTTCTTGGTCACATGATTAGAAACTTCCCAATCACAGAAAGTCCCTGTTGTGGTGCGGGCTTGTGTTTAGCTTCCTCTGTCAGCTGAGGCAGACATGAACACTCTGTTCAGCTCTTTGTGTCATGCTCTAATGGAAATCCCAGCAGACATGACGACTCCTGGGTCCAGCCTGGTAGCCCCAGGAATTTGATCTGTGGAATCGACACAAAAGAAAAAGCTATGTTTTACTCTGTATGTAGAAAGGCAACAGTCAGGGAGAATGTGCAGGATCTTAGGGATCTTATAATTCTGTGTGCAAGAACTGCCCAACAGATAAAGCAGCTTTGGGAGGAACGCACATGAAACAGTGAGAGAGGAAAGGGACACCCTCCCCAGCCACCTGGGGTGACAGGTGTTGCAGTGAGAGCACCCTCACAGGACAAAGCGGCTTGGACATGGAACTTCCTGTATCTGTGCCTGTGACATAATCAGCCAAAGGTCAGGGACTGTGGGTAGTGAAAACCTTGAAATTGTATGTTGGATGTAGAGACACATGCTCTACAAGATTATGTCAGCAGCTTATTTACAGACCTTTCTATGAATATCCTAAATCAAAGATGCTTGAACTTAACAAATAAATAGATGAGTAGATAAATAAACAGCCTTAGAAAAGCAAGTCAATACTCACTGACTAATGAGTTACTATAAAAGTTGATAAGTTATACAGCTATTTTAGCACTAACATGTTGGAAATTTTTCATAAAGCCCAAAATTATAGGGAAAACAAATTATTTGAGGAAATATGTGTCAGAATTCCCAGCAAAGCTGAGTTATCTTCTTACCATAAGTGTTCTATCTACCACTAAGGAAGTAACTCCAAGTACAGGGGAACAATAAATCAAAACAAGAAGCCTCAAGCTAGCATTATACACAGTCATAAGAAACAAAAAGCAATCTAAACAATTAAATATATCTATTGCAACGACTGTCAGAAGAGTTTGCTCATAGATGAAATGAGGACATAGATGAAATGACACAAGTATAGACTCAAAAATCACACAAGCAGAATAAGAAATTAAACAATTTCTTATAGGTAGTGTATAATTCCTAATGGGGAAATAAATTCAGGAATGAAGACAGAAGCAAATCTCTGGATGGTAATTAACCATTGATACTACTCATTTTCTTCTGTATACTTGTCCTTTTCAAGTTTTCTGTTGTAGAGTGTTGATGGGTTTGAAAAATAGCCTAAATGCTAATATCGCATAATGAAAATAATGAAACTTCATTTCAAAGCCAGCTCTCCAAACTTAGACGGCCTGTGTCTTACCTCACATCACTTTCTCCTCATTACATGAGATTAAGATGACTCTGAGGAGCATCTTGCTCTGACAAAACGTTATGTCAGAGAAGGTCTTGGTTTGTGCATTTGTTTTAATAATCTGCCATTTCAGGGAGTGTCTTTTGGCTGACAGCACTAGTGACTAAAGGGTAAAAGGGGTGATTGCTTGCAGAACTTAGGAACAACAGTGTCAGTTTTCAGGCTGTCCTGTTGGAAGTTATTTACCTCTAGAAAGCAAATGTGTGTGTTTCGTCCCCGTTAGGAGTAACTGCGTAAATGTCTTGGTAACGACGACCCAGCTGATTCCTGCTCTGGCGAAGGTCCTGCTCTACAGCTTAGGAAGTGCTTTCCCCATTGAGAATATTTACAGTGCAACAAAAATAGGTAAGGAGACTGTTTGAAATTCTGTATGAAGTGTATCCACATCTGTGGAGCAGTCACACACATAATTATATATATATATAATATATATATATAATTATGTGTATTATTGTGTACATATATGTATTTCTGCATGATTCTCTTTTAATCAATTCTTTATTACCACATCTAGAAAATTTGGAAACGCCTGAAATAACAAAATCACATGTAATTCATAAGACATATGTATATTTTATGACAACTCTTATCTAGTGAAATGCTGAATTCAGTATTTAGGCAATTCGAACTCATTCTGCCCAAATCACACAGCTCATGTAGCATATGTTGTCTGGATGATACGTGCTCCAGCTCAGTGTTTAATAGTTCAATTAATATGAGATTATATCTTTGCACGTTCAATAATACTGATCTAAGGTCAAAAAACACAGTTTTTTGGCATCGTTGAGAAGTCTCAGATTAATTCTACAGCAATCAAAAATGATTTCAAAGACAAATGAGGATTTTTCATAAAGCAGAATATGTCATTTTAATATTTATTACATGAGTGCCTGGAATATGCATGCTTTCCAGTACACACTAGGACTCAGATAACCGCAGCCCACTTCCCAGGTAGTATCTGTCTATGGAGCCATCTTTGTCTTAAAATATGACCATCTGCAGAGTCTGACTTCCAATTACCACTCAAAAACAAAACCTCATCAAGTTCTGCCATCTTGAGAGAATAAAAGACCATGTATTCTAGTGTTTGTGGAGGAAGCTCCTGGGAGAACAAATAAATAGTTATTCACTGTGCCCTAAAGGACAACAAAATTACCTGTTGGCACTTTGAGGAATTCAAAATCCTAAAGTCTCCCAGCCAGCATAGCTAGCTCTCAGTCTTGTGAAGGTCACAGGCATTTGGGGAGAAAAGTTAGGGAGAGTGACACTTTCTTAAAGCGTATGCCACAGCATCCCGTGGACTACAACAAATCAGAGCCTAGACGAAGATCCCATACAACATTCTATGACAATACACGCATCATACCCGGAAGACGGACAGGTAGAATGGGATTTTCCTTTCTTTTAATATTTGGACAATGCAAGTGATTTTTGTATTCAAATAAACGTTTATTTTACTGAAAGGATGATATTCTTGAGAAAATATTATTTTATTATTTTTTCCTTAGTGACTAGTAACTTTTTTTTTTTTTTTTTTTTTTTTTTTTT